CTGTTGCTGAAGAAAGGAGGTTTGACTTCTTCATATCTCTAACTGCAAAGAGATATATTACAGGACTGATATTTGTAAGTTTACTGACCTCTTTTTCAACACTGGACTTTGCAACTGATTAATCCCCGGACGAACTGAACTAAGTGTATGATATATGGACTGTTTGACTATGCTAAAACTCTTACTGGAATAAACTATTTAACTAGCACATTGTATCTGTTTTACTGAGTGTAAGCTACAACAAATTTGCCTGCCTGCCTGCCTGCCGTGCAGGTTCTGCTAGGGTGTATATCCCTAACAATGCTTGTTATCTGGTAAGGTTAAAAAATTGGATAACTTTAAAAAATTCAAGACCTCGAAGGTTTTGATTTGAGATTTGGGTGGCATCATGGGTGGGATTTTACCAGTTCACACCTATTCGCTAGAACCAGTTGTTAACATTCTAAGCAGTTCGGAGAACCAATTGTTAGAAGAAATTACTGGCCTAATCCTGTAAGGACAGCAGGAAGGAAACATTTTGGTGTTGCTTACAGAAACTGTCTCTCTGTTAACCCTTATTATGTTCTTGGAAGAACTAGACTTCCTGTCTTAGGAACTTCTCTGGAGTTCTTTTCCCCTCCTTTGCTGGTACTTTGCATGTGGAATGACCAGTCAAAGTTACAATGGTACTAAAAAAGGTGACTTATGACTATTTTTCACACTTACGACTATTGCAGCATCCCCACAGTCATGAGAGGCCAGGTGAGGAAATGCGTGCTTCGATGTGAGTGATATTGAGTTGGCCACACCCAGCCAATAACATGACTGCCAAGCCACACCTACCAACTTAGCCACACCCATAGAACCGGTTGTTAAAAAATTTGAATCCCACTCCTGGGTGGCATGCCTATCTGTGGAATGACAAAGTTAACTCTGAGTTTAAGATTCATGCTATTAGGCAATCTATTACACATTTATGATGTAATTATAAAAGAAGATTAAGCAATAAAGAAGCACTAAATAGAACAGAGATAATATCAGAATGTAAATAACTGACATATTGAGCTTATTTATATTTGAAAATGAGGGATTTAAGATAAAGACAAAACTATTACTAAGTGAAGGATTTGCCTGTGATTTATTATCAAATTTTTGAACAATTTAAATTTGATTAATATTTTTTGTTTTCACAGGAGCTAAATCTGAACTAGATGTTAATCTAAGTTTAAGAGGTGATCACTTGATTTCTAAAGTACAGTATATAAAATGTTACTCAAGATGAGTCTAGAAGATGTATGGACAAAGGTATTAAAATTTACATTAAATTATAGTTTGAAAGAAAACTTTTATAAAATGATGTATCATTGGTATTTGACCCCAGATAGACTTAGGAAAAAATGTACAAAGGGATTTCTAATAAGTGCTGGAAATGTAGCCAAAATCCAAATTCATTTTATCATATGTGCTGGTCTTGCAAACCTCTGGATAAATATAGCAATGACAATGCAAAAAATACTTGAGATATAAACATTAATGAAACCAGAAGCTTTTCTTTTAGTTATTGTTAAGGCATGCCAAATTTTTCAACTTTCACTTTCCAAACATTAGGGATTCTGAAAAGTTGTGACATACCTTGGGGATTGTAAAGATATTTTGATTACTTCTATATAATTTATTTGTTTCATTTTAGACAAGCCAATTGAAAAACAATTTGGGGTGCTATTCCTTCACATGGTGATGGCTGCGAGCATTACACTTGTCAAACACTGGAAAGAAAAAAGGACGCCAAATGTTGAAGAATGGATTTTGAAACTGACTGAATTAGCAGAGATGGCAAAATTAACTACTTTGGACTAGGCAACTTTATAAGTGACTGGAAACCATTTGTGGACTTTCTACAACGAAATATGATAACAGATGGTTGACAGAGGGATTTGAAAATTAGTGTAATGTTTAGCTTAACTTGTTGACTGTATGTGTGTGTATGTCTATATTTTTTTATCATAAATCAATAAATAATATTAAACAAAAAAATTCTGCACTTCTCTTTTCATCTATGTAGACAGTTTGTTTTATTAGCATAAATTTGGTATCAAATGGAAAATTAATTTTGGATTCATGTACCCTGCTTTCAATAGAGAATTGATGATTTGGATTAGAAATAATGGTGTACCCATATGCTACAATGAGCAACCACAATAATAAAACTTATTCTGTTACATTATACAAACATTCCAGATTTATGCATATATTTTAATTAAAAGGAGAGCAACTACTTCTAAATGGGAAATAATTATTCACCTCACAAGTCAATTTCTGAAATTATAGATGAACTAATTCATACAATCTGTTAATCAGACTTTGAAAAATCTTAATTATCATGATTTTTATATTAGGTTCAAGTAGTAAGTAGGGGTATTCTCTTCAGTTTGTAAAGTACATTGTAAATCTGATATTCTTGCAGAGGATGTTTTCTCATCTAGTCTACCTTAAAAGACTGATAAGGATGGAATATCTTAAAAGAAAGCTTTAAAACTGAACAATGAGACATGCTGTAGAATATATCTCATGTATAACTTCTCACAATTCATATCAGAACATGGATAACAGAAGCTGCTAATTGCTAATTATATTAACAAGATGTTCATGTTAATATTTTGTCTATTTTGATTGTGTCTTACTTATTCTGTGTAATGAAATCTTGAGGGAAACAACAAAATGATCAATAAGCTTGCTAAATATACTGTACATTTGATCAGTACATCTGTGTCCAACAAGAGTTTGACGGTACTTATCCAATACTGCAGCTCTACTTCACAGTCTAAAAAGTGTGCATCAAAAATGCAAATTCTATGAAGAAAAGTAGTAAGTGATTTTTATATTGAATATTTAACAGAAAAGCCATATCTTGTTTTCAGGAGCAAATTGTCATTTAGTTAAATATCTCTGACTTGACTACTTGTTAATCTCAATTTTATAATGGAAGAGAAGAGAATTTAAAACAATAACATAACCTACTGATTTAATATATTATGTGAGGAAACAAAGGGAGATAATTTTCAGAAACTTAGACACAAAAAAGTCTGCTTAAAATAATGAGCATTTGTGTGTGGAATGGAATTTTATATGCTTCCTAAGCAATAAAACTAATGTATATTTTTAATAATAATATATCTCCCTGGTGCTGATATCTGGAAAAAAATATTTATGGGGGTGTAGAACTGTAGAAACTATTGGAAGAAATAACTGATTAATATAACTGGCCTTTTACATTTACATTTAAGGGACAATGTATGGTGGCATTTCTGAAATTCTTTCCATTTATATACTATTAAAATTATTGTTCCCATAAGCTCTATCTGGGCTAAAGTATACACTGTAAGCAGAACATTTTCAACCAAGATACCTCAAATGGACTAACTTACAGAATGTATCCGAAAATCATTCAATTCCCATGGAACTGAAATTTGGCAAATTTCATAAAAAATATTTAAAAGTGTGACTTAACATTATCATAAAACATTTTATGGGATAATACAAAATGTCATAAACCCTCCTGAGCTTTCACTATTATTCAATTCAACATGGACTGTTTTCTGTTCTTTTCATTAGAAAGTGTAACCAATATCTCCCTGAAATTTTAATAAGTTTACAGTGAATGCAGTACATAAGCTCTATAATGTCTGAGGACATCAAGGAATTTGGTAAGAAAATTATCTTTCAGCCAAAAAGGAGGAGGTGGTTTCACTGGGATACTCCTGGGGGACATAAGGGGTACAGAGCCAGTAGAAGCCTATATTATACATGGAAAGAAAAAGGACCCATGGTTTGTCTAGTTGTTGATAAATGGTTGAGTAACATTACTCAAAAGAATACTGATCTTTAAAAAGTCGTGGTTGTGGCAAGGTATGTCAAACTAATTTTTAGCTAAAATTATGGGACAAAAACTCCATTATTTGATTTTATTGTACAAGGTACAATGACCAATTAAACTAAACTAAACTAATTATATTTGATGGGAAGGTTGTATTTTTTAAGGAAATAGAGAATAAGAACTATTCATACCTGTGAAAAAAAATCAAGAAATCATACCTCTAGTTCAACACTTACCAATGAATGGCTTGGCAAGGATTGATCTTTAAAACACCATTAAGGCAGGACATTATTATACTGCAATAAAATACCATAAATAATGAACAGAATCACTGAGAATTGTATGAATGGCTATCACAAATTGAAAAACCATATCCAAGAATAGAGATAGTGATTTAGACTATTGAATCCAATTTCCTGATCCCTGTGCAGATCCCATTTAAAGTATCTTTCAGACACAGCTGTCCAGCCTCTGTTTGAAAACTACCAGTGATGACCAATCACTGTATTTCTTAATTATTGGTCCAAATAAACAAGTTCTTTGGTCATTACATTTTATCTTATAGATCAAACTTTAGTAGTTAAATAGAACCATTGTAATAAAGAAATAACAATAGGTAATGGAATCTTAGTGCCTTAATTTGGTGCGTGGAAGACTGGCAGATAGAAATGGGAGAAAGCCTAGTTTCAATAACCTTACTCTCTCCTAAAAGTAAACTTGCATGCAAGAGAGGATTTTTTAAATATTTCATCCTTATTCCTCATATCTCCTGCCACATGCATACTTTAAAGACAAAATATCAGCCATATTAAAAACATGAGTAAATGAGATAAACTGGAAGGAAAAAGTGCAAATCATGTAACAGATTTCTTTACAATAAACCTTTATCTTTCCTCATAACTATTCTGCCACTCTTTGTCTGCCTCGGTCACTGTATCTCTTCATGACTGTGTGAGCAAGTATGTATACACTTATGCAATTAAAGTGTATCCTCTTTAACTCATCATTATAACTTTTTTAGCATGTGCATACTTTCTAGTTTCAAAATATATTATCTTCAAAAGGGACATTCAAAACATGCATACATAGTTTTTCTCTAATAATATTTCTTATCTGTGCTTTCTTGCAGCTATGTCATAAGTTAAATATGGAGAATCAAACCACTGTTCCTTACTTTCTGCTGCTGGAATTTTCACAAAATCGACATCTGCAGCTTCTACATTTTTTCTTATTCTTCACATTATATCTGACAACAGCAACAACAAATCTTCTCATCATCTTTGTAGTAGTTTTTGACCATCACCTACACAGTCCCATGTATTTCTTTCTAGTGAATTTGGCTGTGCAAGATCTGGGCATTGTTTCAGTCATTATCCCCAAATCCATGGTAAATTCTCTCATGGATAGTCGACAAATATCTTATTTTGATTGTGTTGCTCAACTTTTTCTCTTTATCACCTTTGAAGCTTTTGAATTGTCTCTCCTGACAGTCATGGCATATGATCGGCATGTTGCCATTTGTTATCCCCTGCACTATGAAATGGTAATGAATTGGAAAGCTTGCATCAAAATTGTGGTTCTAGTGGGGGTTACAGGAATACTGTATGGAATGTTGCACACCATTGGCACCTTTTCCATCTCTTTCTGCTCTAATGTTATCAATCAATTTTTCTGTGAAATTCCACACTTGCTAAAGCTACCTTGCTCTGGATTCAATCTAGTTGAGGTTGGAGTTCTTGTGGCCAGTGCCACTGCAGGATTAGGTTGTTTTATTTTTATCACTGTTTCTTATGCCAAGATCTTCCAGGCAGTGTTGAGAATCCCTTCTGTGAAAGGAAGGCAGAAGGCCTTTTCCACTTGTTTTCCCCACTTTATGGTCCTTTCTATGTTTTTGGTAACTTCAGGCCTGGCCTACCTGAGACCCCCCTCTAACACACCATCTTACTTAGATTTAGTATTCACTGTCCTATATTCCTTATTTCCACCCCTGTTCAATCCAATCATCTATAGCATGAGAAATAAGAATATCAAACTTGCCCTGTCTAAACTATGGAAATTCTGACATTTTCCTTTACATACATACATACATACATACATACATACATATATATATAATTTTATTGTATGATATTGAACATTCTTTGTCTTTGCCTTCAGTTTTCACTAGGAGGAAATGCAATTGCAAAGGAAAATATCTAGGGATGATAGAGGATCATTATGTCCTTCCAGATCAATGGTAGCACGTGAGAAATTGGTGAACTACAATTCCATATCCTGAGTCCCTACCACTTCAATCATGCAGAGGTCAATAGAGAAAGATGATAAAGAAGAGCTAGAAGCATATGTAAAATTGATTCTTTTTTAGATGAAATATATATTTACATAACAGAGAGTGTTTAAAAAGGCAAGTGAGCTGTAAACCTGTCTAAACTTCCTTTAATAACATTATTACACTCATCCAGTTTAGTTCTAATATAGTTGTTTTTAAAAATTCTGTAGAACTTAAAGAATATGTTAACTAAATTATTATTTTTTGTGCAGTTCATTCCACTTAGGATTTAGTAGTTAGTCTCTCTGGTCCTGATATCATTGCTGTTTTTCACATTTTCCAATACTAAGTATCAATGTACGTTTATCAAAAATAGAAATGTATAAAATTTACATGAGCTATTTTGGAATAATTATCTGGAAAGCACTGTTCCTATAAGTTAGTGGAAGATTGTCTTAAAACTGTGGAATCATGAATTCTTTTGGTCTTAAATCAAACTTATTAAAGCTTATTTTACAGAAAACAAGTTACTTAAAGCCTCTCCAGAGATGCCATACAGCGGATCAAGCAGTGATCACTGCCTTCTTGTGGGAGGGGTTGAGGCTGCTTCCCTTGAAGTAGATAATGGTATATCCTTAAGAGGTCACCAAGGGGTGGGGTTCAAATTTCTTAACAACCAGTTCTGTGGGCATGGCCTAATTTGTGGGTGTGGCTTGGTGGTCATGTGACTGGGTGGGTGTGGCTTGCTGACTGGGCATGGTTTTGTGGTCATGTGACTGGGTGGGTGTGGCTAGATGGTCATGTGACTGGCTGGGCATGTATTGTTGGTCATGTGACTGGGGTAGGCGTGGCTAGGTGGCCATGTGACTAGCAAACCAAATATAAGTGGTTCTCACTTAATGGCCAGTTGCTTAGCAAGTGTTCTAATTTATGGCTGACCTCCCTAGAGCTACTTGACCTGTTTTTTGTGTTTTGACAGTCATGCACACATGCACACACGCACACTTATGATCAGTTACAACATCCCACATAGTCTCGTGACTGAGGTTTTCTATTATGGACTTGTTTAACAACCACAGTGTTTGCTTAATGACCATAAGGTTCACTTAATGACCATGGTGTTTGTCTAACCTGGGGTCGGCAACCTTAAACACTCAGAGTCATTTTTCTATTTTCTTTTAAACAGGTATCTCTCTCTCTTTCTCCCTCTTTCTCATCTATTTTTCTTTCTCCCTTTTTCTTTCTCTCTCTCATCTGTCTCTTCTCTCTCTCTCTCTCTTTCCCTCCCCCCCTCTCTGTGTCTCTCTTGGTCTCTCTCTCTCTTTCCCTCCCTCCCTCTGTCTCTCTCTGTCTGTCCCTTGGGGGAGGAATATAAGTCACTTTTTTCAGTGTTGTTGTAACTTTAAATGGAGGCTAAATAAATAGTTGTACCTCAAAGACTATCTGTATCTGTGGCTTTAACCTTCCAATTAGCATCTAACTAAATTTCAGCTGCATCTCTGCACCAGGCACATAGGATAATTTCCTTATTCCCAAAATGCAGGAAAATAACCCAGGCTCCCAAGAAGTTGTACTTCTGATGTTTTTCAAGCTTAGCAACTTTAAGATATGTGAACTTCAATTCCCAGAATTCCCCAGGTAGAGAATTTGATTACTTCCAAGTCAGTAACATGAAAGAATTACCAACTTTAAAGATACTGAGCATTGTATCTCTGTATGAATCGATTTAGTAAGATCCCATACCTACCACACTCCTGTCTCTGCTTGGATAGAACCATCAAGGCACTTCTACTGGTTTGCCCCTTGTACCAAGGATCTGATTTAATATTGCCTCTTCCTCCTCCTCCTCCTCAATAAATATATGGATTGACCTCAAATGGATGTTACCTGTTTTCTACTGGTGGATTAATCTATAAAATGTAATATAAACTGCCCCTTCATCACAAGGACACAGCTTTAAAGATATTAAATCCCCCCCACCCCCAAGGGATACTTGCTCCAGGCTACTTTAAAATGCTTTAAAGCCCGGTTCAGCTCCAACAACGCTTCCTGGAACTTCTCCTTGTAGCACTGAGCTCCTTGTCTTTTATTTTGAAATCCAGCACTCTTGGGCTTCAGCGCTGGATTTTAAAAGGCAAGCTCAGTACTACAAGAAGTGCCGGGAAGCCAATGAATTAGTCGATTAAGTAATACTTTTAAACTACTTTCTCTCCCAGCAATCTGGGCTGAAACAGAATTAA